TCTATATTATATATTTTTCTATATTATATATATTATTTATATGTATGTAGTCCACTGAAAGTGTCTCTGACTGCTAGGATGAGAATGGAGTTGGACTGTCTGATGAGGACCTGCGTGCCGAGGTGGACACATTCATGTTTGGGGGCCACGATACGACAGCCAGTGGGATCTCCTGGATCTTGTACTGCCTGTCCTTATATCCAGAGTACCAGCAACGGTGCAGGGAGGAGATCCAGGGGATCCTGGGGCAGCGGGAGACAGTTCAGTGGTAAGGTTGCACATCTCCTCAGCTGGTAACTTTTTTCCCATCACTACCATTTCTAAGTGAGAAATGTCTTCAGGGCTTGAAAACTGGGTTGCTATAGGTTGTTGTGTGCACAGGGACTTCATAGGATGGAGCAGATACTGCATCCTTCAGCTAAATCTATGTCCCTAGCTTTCAGGGCTCATACTACCAGTGCAGACACAAGAAAAACCACCCCAGACCAGGAGGGTCATGCTAAATGCCATGCCAAGACCTGGGCCACCAACGTTGCTTTTTGCTCTCTCCTGTTTTCTCACCACAGGATATTATAGTCGCAGCTTTTCACCTTTCACTGTCACTTTGCACTTGGGCTTCTGCAGAGGTTGTTAAACTTTCTCAGAGGTGTCCTGGGATCCCCAGCTTGCAGCAGCCTGTGGTTGGATGCTGTGGATCCCCCTATATGCCCATCTGTTGCAAGTGGACCTGTCCAAGGGGCTGATGGCTGTGGGGCAAGGAGCTTCCTGGTGCAGGGCAGCAAGGAAAGTGGGGGGCTCAGCCTGTCTCTGTCCTGGCAGGGAGGACCTGGGCAAGATGACATACAGCACCATGTTCATCAGGGAGTGCCTTCGCCTTTACCCACCAGTGCCTGGCGTGTCCCGGCAGCTCAGCAAACCCATCACCTTCCCCGATGGACGCACATTGCCAGAAGGTTTGTAAATCCCACTCCTGCTTCACAAAATTCTGCTCTTGGACATCAGCCAGGTCCTCATTGACTGCTGCAGAGCAAAGGCAACAGCCCTGTCTCTGTGACCTGCTCCTTGCCAGCACAGACATTCAGATAGGACTGTGCAGGTGTTGGCATCCCATTGATCGAATCATAGAATCCCTGGTTGGAAGAGACCTTTGAGATCATTGAGTCCAACCGTACCTGTCCACTATTAAACCATATCTCCAAGCACCCCATCTAGCCATCTTTTAAACAGACTGAGGTCTGGGCTGTACAGCAGCATCCCCTTGACATCCTTCCTGCCACCATCACTATAGGGCAGCCATGCCTGTGCCAAAAGCTCCTTCTCTTCCTGGCCAAGCACAAGCTCATGGTTCACCCATTTTGGCAAACTGCAGGCACAGGGGGACAGGGACTGGTCCCATCCCAACTTGTGGTGTGGAAGTTGCCCTGTGTTGCTCCTTTCCTTCTGTGATTCAGCACACAAGTGGGCAGCATTGGTGGGGGGACAATGTGCCTTACAGTGCTGGTGCCTTTGTCATTTCCACTCTTTGGCTGCTTATAACTAAATAAATAGAAAATGTTTGGTTTTCTCTGAAGCCAATGACAAAACCGTCATAGATTTCCAGTTGACAGATAAGACCATGATGATTTAGGCAGACCTTTGTGTGGGCATGCTGCAACTTTCCCTTTAGTTTCTTTGTCACTGAGCCCTTTTCTCCTCCTCAATTGCTTTACAGGCAGCGTCACCGTGATAAGCATTTTTGCCATTCACAGAAACCCTTCAGTGTGGAAAGACCCTTTGGTGAGTTTTCTTTTGCCCTTCTAATATTTTTCCCCTTTATGCTATGCCTCTTCCAATGTCCCCTTCACCTGTTAGCAGGAGAGCAGACCCCCTGCTTGCTCCCAAATGTCTTTGACCACAGCAATGACTCTGAGAAGTGACTGCCTTGTGTTAGTCTCAGCCAGCTGCAGCACAGGGTGGTCAAACAGTAGCGTTAGGGCTGGGTGCTGCCCAAACAGTAATATAAAGTGCTCTGAAGAGCTTGTTGTATTAACAGGCAAAACCATGATTTTTTTGCTCAGCCTACAGGTGGAGAATTGAATCCCAGCTCCCTGATTTTCATCATATCTATATCTGGTTTATCTTGGCAACACCATTGCCAGGCTCAGTGGAAACCAAGGGAGTCTGGTGTATGAGTTTCAGTCCATCTCGAAATTAATTCTCTCTCCGATGGGGTTGTTCAGAAATTAGGGGGTGTCACATTTCTGAAGATAGCAGTCAGTACTGCGTTCCTTACCTCATCGCTTTTTCTTGCTGCATATTGTCCATTTCCAGGTGTTTGACCCTTCGCGGTTTTCCCCGGAGAATGTCTCTGGCAGACACTCTCACGCCTTTCTGCCTTTTTCTGCTGGAATGAGGTAAAGTGTATTGAACACTGAAGGAGTAGTGGGAAAAGAAAACATGCTTCTCTGGAACCTGCTCAGCCCGAGAGTGTGTGCTGTTGTTGTGATTGCTGTCAGGGAAGCAACCACAGTGCACTCTCAGAGACCGCTGCCTGAAGTCCTGGCCCTGTAGCACTAAACAGTTCATGAGCATATAGCAAGTGTTTGTGCTGCAGAGGGGTTCTGATATCAGCAGGCAAAATGGGCAGGAAACATTGCCAGGCCCCTCCTAGGGGCAGGGAACTGGGTCCCAAAGCTGTGGAGCATCATACTGGAGCATCATGCAGGGAGCCTGCAGCACCCTGGGCTCACCTGCTCTGCTCCTCTCCATGGTGCAGAGACCCCATCCCACCCTCCCGCCCTTTGATTCCCACTTCTTCCCTGCTCCCATTCCTTCCCTTTGCCCTGCACTCACCCCACTAAGGCAAACACGTTGCAGACCCTCTTGCCTTGCCTCTGCTGGCCTCTCCTTTGGCCTCCCCATCTGCCCTCCCTCTCTGTATTCACTGAACACATATCCAGGAGCTCCTGATTCTCCCTCAGATTCCCCCTGCTCAGCCCACGCCCCTGCTTATGCTTCCCCAAGCACTGCCTGGTGTCCCCAGAGCTGCTGGGGGAAGGGTTGTGTGCTGGTGTGAGAGGGCTGGGATCTGGCTGTGGGGGTTTGCTGTGCCCAGCACTGAGGTGAGGTGACTGAGCTGCTCTGTTTCACCCCAGGAACTGCATTGGGCAGCAGTTTGCCATGAATGAGTTGAAGGTGGCACTGGCCCTGACTGTGCTCCGCTTCGAGCTCTCTCCTGACCCTGCCAACCCTCCCTGCAAAGTACCTCGGATTACCCTTCACTCCAAGAATGGGATTCACTTGTATCTGAAGAAAATCCGCTGATGCTGGAAGACATCCTGCCTTCGCAGGAGGGACCAAGCAGATGACAGGACAATGTTTCTCTGGAGCAAAAAGTGTGGGGCAGGATCTGGGGATGAGGATTCCTGATTTCTGTGCTTCTTCCACCAGCTGAAAGCCCTTTTTGGCCTGGGCCCAGGTAGCCTGGATGGCATTGCACAGACCCATTGTCGTCTGCTCGGTGAGCGCTGATCTCAGAGCAGCCAGGCATGGCCATGCCTCTTCACTGGCTGTCCCTTTGCCCTGCCATAAGGGGCAAGGGCCTGGGAACAACTTCAGGTCGCACCAGCTTCCTCCTTCACAAATCCTGCCTTCGCACTCACGTCCTGGTTGAATCCGTGAGCGTTCCCAGCCCTGCTCCATCGTCAGCACCTTCCTCAGTGCCTAGAGGTCAGCCCTCCTCTCCTGCAGCAGGGACGGCCCGTGGCAGACCTCTGTCTCTCTTCTCGCACTCAATACGTCTCTGTTTTGTTGCAAGCACTGATTCCAGTTTGGGCTCTGAAATTCTGCCTAAACTGCAAAATATTCTGCAATTTAATTGGTTATTTAATTGGTTAATAAATCAATAATAATTCCTGTAGAAGCAGCTATGTCAGTTTTTATTGCAGATGCTTGCCCACTTCGTAACAAATACGGTGTAAAACCCCTTTAGAAATGGAAGATGGAGAGAAAACCCATGGACAGCAAGAGACAACCCTGGGGGTGTCCAGCCAGGCCCCTGCACATGGGTCTCCAGCCACAACCAATGCAGCATGGTTGCATCCTTCCATGGGCAACCCCTTAACAGGGGTCCAATGTGCAAGCTTAATTTAAAGCTGCAAGGGAGGAGTTTTCATAGTTAGAAAGGTCTTTTTTATCTCCCTTTTTTTTTTTTTTTTTAATTTTCCTAAGCTGATAAAGTTATGAGAGTATGCTTGAGGTACACTGGAGGACACTAGTGAGCTGTCTTCTGCCTCTGCAGGAATCGTTACTGGGGAAGAAAGTGTCAAACTGGGAAATCCCAAATGCTGCTGTTGCATTTAGTGTCATGATGTCAACTGCAGTTCTGGCATCATGAGCAGGCTGCTGTGTGGTAAGACAGCTTTGTACAGCTCTCATCTGCAGAAATAAGGCAGATAGAAAGCAGCAGAGGAAACAGGAGGACCTTTTTGTGGGATACAGGGTGCTACACTATCAACACTGCAAGCCAAATCACTGGTGAGACCCATTAGTATAAGTTTATATCAAACATAAGGTTTTGTCCAATTTAAACTTTAAATACACAAAAGGTGCCCATAATAAATAATAGAGATAATACAAATAACTTATGTCATCTCTCACTCTGAGTGTATTACCCGCCCACTGCAGATGTCACACCAAAGAAGACACATCCACCAGCCAGCTTCACCTCCGATCTCCATACCTCATCATGCCCATGATGCTCCAGGCACCCAAGCCACAAATTAATTCCTCCTATGAGCAAAACTTCCAGGTTGCCCTGAAGCAACTGCTATGATTCAGTAATATCCCATTTCAGAAGAAATGGTAAAAGAAAGAAATCATGTGCATGCATGGATAACAAGGACACAACTGCATCTTCCAGCTTCACCCTGAATTCAGGCTTTGCATGGATGGATTTGCCTCCATAACTTGCAAGGAGAACTTGGGCCACTCTCGGTCTCTTCTCCCAGGTGACAAGTGATAGGACAAGAGGAAAGAGTCTCAAGTTGTGCCAGGGGAGGTTTAGATTTGGTATCAGGAAAAATTCATTTACTGAAAGGGTTATCAAGCATTGGAGCAGGATGCCCAGGGAAGTGGTGAGTCACCATCGCTGAAGGTATTTAAAGGACATGTAGATGAGGTGCTTAGGGAAATGGTTTAGTGGTGAACTTGGCAGTATTAGGTTTATGGTTGGACATGATGATCTTAAAGGTCTTTTCCAACCAAAACAATTCTATAATTCTATTATTCTACATCCTGCAATAAGTTAAAGGAAAGCAATTATTTATCTCCTTCTGAGGAGGCTCTGTCCAGGAGGAAAGCAGTAAATGCACCTGGCTCAAAATTGCTCAGTTACAACCTCTAGTGATATGGAAAGTAATAAGCTGATAAAAGCCACTTTCTTCAGTTTTGCTCTATCATATTTCAGGGTCACTGGGTAAAAGCTCACTGGGTAAAAGCTGCAAACTCACGTCACCTTAGTTACTAAACTAGGGCTGTCCCAGCTACAGCAGCTGAGGAGCTACCTGCCAGGGGTGATGCCAATACTCCCATGCAAACCCACAGTCATCCTTGTACGCTGGACAGAGCCAGTGTGGTGGAGCTCAGCACAGCAGAGCCACGCAGAAACCTGTCACAGTGACAGCAGGAGAGCTGTGCACGAGGCACGAACGGAAAGGGCTGTGTATGAAAGCACTACACGGAATAACACAAAGCAAAGATTGCAAAAATGGCCAGTAACAATGACCAGGGACACCAGTGACAGCAGTAAAACTGGTGGACGCTGAGGAAAGTGTTGTTTATATCAAGGCATGTGGCCCCTGTGCCAAGAAGGCCACAGTGCAGATGACTCAGCAGCAGACGACCTGTGCTGTGATTGTAGGAGGATGGAGCAAGGTTGCAGCACCTTGTACCTGCCATTCCTCTCCCTGCCTTTAACAGACTGTAACCCCTTAACTTGCCATTTCAAGTGAAACCTGATGTATAGATTGCCAGTGGGTGACCTGAGACAGTACAGAACCTCCAGGAAAGACGAGGTGCAGTCAAGCCCCTTTCCTCTCTCCTCCCGTGCTGAGACCTGAAGCAGTTTGTGGTCAGACCACCACAGCCAGAGACTGAATGAACAAAACTGGCCGCAAATGAAGCTGACTGGGCTGTGACCTGCCAGAAACTCCTTTGCTCCTTATGCCCACGGAAAATATATGCATGGGAACTGTTTTGCAGGGCCATGGAAGTGCACAGACATCCCACCAGTGGGAACAGGAGCAAATTACAAGTGCAAGTTTAAAATTCAGACTTAAGAGTTTGCAAAGGATAGAGGAGTTAAAGCTAAAGAAAGGCTTAGTGGCACCAGATGTCTGGATTCAATGCCTAAGTTTGATGTTCAGAACTGTGCAGAGCATAAGCCAACTAGGTGAGAGGACAAACTTTTGCTGTTGTCATCATCTTGTGAAAGGAGCCAGGGGAGTATCTGCCAGACCAGTCAGTTTATGCATCCTCAGCTCCAGGAGGCGTTGGCAGTGGTGGAAGCATCCCCCAGTTTCATCTCTCCTGCACACACCTTCACAAATCTGTCCTGCTTATTGAGAGCACTACGTCTGCCTGGAAAGGGGTTGCAGGAAGACCTACTATTTTTTAAGCAAAATAATTGAAAAATCTGTGATATTGAATTGGTAATTTGAAAAAGGAATAATTTAAAAATAAATAATAATTTAAAAAATAAATCTTACTGCAACTTCTCATGGAAGAGAATTAATGGATCTTGGGAAAGTGGGGAGCTCAGGGGCCAGCCTGAACCATTGGGGTTGCCCCACATCCCTCAGCTGGTCTGGGTGGGTAAGCAGGGATTTCAGAATATGGCAGATTATTTTATAAGCCACACTGGCAAAAAAAAAAAACTGAAAAAAAGAAGCATCAGGCCAGACTTCAGTCTAAACCTATTATTATTTTCTAGGCTCAAAAGCAGAGATTCAAAACACCATTTCTTTTTTCAAACTTCTCATTCCTTTGAAAACCAGGACTTTTCAGAAGTGAAGTGTCCCATGAAGAAAAATATTTACTGAAGAAAAAAATCAGGGGCTTGATGAACCCAACATTATAATCTGAATGATGATGCTACATCCTTCCTTTGTAATGAATTCCACAAAAACAACAAATCTGAACTTATGAGAAATACATATATTTTCAAAATACTTTTAAGCTCATGCAGAAAGGCAATCCTTTTCTAATGGAAGCTCAATCAGCACGCAGGCTTAGCAGTTGCTCTCATTTATATACATAAGGATCAGGACTCTAGAAAGTAAAATGAAAATAAGATTTCTCAGTAAATGTGCTTTTCCTTGTGCTTCTCCGTTCTCTATTTCCTGCCCTTCAGCAATGTTGGCTTTCCACCTATGCCAGGAAAACTGAATCCCAGTTCAACTTATTTTTGCTTCCAAGTTAATCCAATTTATTTCAGTGTAAAACAGCTCATCTCAAAGAAGCTACATGTGACAATGTAGCATCATCATTGTCACAAAGTGCAGCACCCACTTTGCAGGGGATGCTCACTGCAGCTGCAACCGCTGTGCTGGGACAGCCCAGGTGAACATCCACACGCTCTGGCTGCTGGTCCCCTCCAGACAGGAGGTGCAAGCTCTCAATCAAAAATATCACTGCAATGGAGAGAGACAGGGTATGCTTATTGAAATGTAAAATGTTTTGTTTGGCCATAAAATTGGTGAAGGGTTTAGAGGAGAAGCCATACAAGGAGAGGCTGAAGTCACTTGGTTTGTTCAGCCCGGAGAAGAGGAGACTGAGGGGAGATCTCATCACGGTCTAGAACTTCCTCCCAAGGGGAAGAGGAGGGGCAGGCCCTGATCTCTTCTCTCTGGCCACCAATGCCAGGAGCAGAGGAAACGGCAGGAAGATGTGCCAGGGGAGGTTGAGGTTGGCCATTAGGAAAAGGTTCTTCAGGCAGAGGGTGGTGGAACACTGGAACAGGCTCCCCAGGGAGGTGCTCTTGGCACCAAGCCTGACAATATTCAAGAAGCATTTGGCCAAGGCTCTCAGACACATGGTCTGAATCTTGGGACTGTCCTGTGCAGGGACAGGAGTTGGACTTGATGATCCTTGTGGGTACCTTCCAACTCACAACATTCTATGATTCTATAAAACTGTGAGAAGCCACAAGCACTTCGGAGGGTGGTATTAGGATTCAGAATTATCTCAATAAATTACAAAAATGCTGAAGTGAACGAGATGCGAGTCTGCAAGCTCTGGCCCAAAGTGCAAGAGCAGGTACAGCC